CAGGGTTCGACTAGCGATTAAACTTGCTACTCACATCGAGGTACAGCCGCGGACCGAGCAATATGAAGTGGCTCAATCGCTCAAGGAAGAGGCGCTCTTCTACTCGCGCTATCTAAAAAACTTCAAGGTCGCGTCGTGCCCGTCCATTTCGGACTCTGGATTGGCCGTACATCGTGGGCTGGGGTCGTGGTCTGTGTGATTTTGGAATGGGGTGGCCATCCGTGGTCATCCAAGGTGGAGATCAACACGCATGAAAATCGGTACGCCACGGTTTTCTTATTCACCGCAAGGCATTTACGCTGACTTTTGTACGTGTACATAGCATGAAGTTTGGTGCAGCCATTCAAGCGTTGCACGATGCAGATGTGGAACATCGCCAGCTGGATGACTGTCGCCACTTGCTTTACAATGAGGGAACTGGGGCCGTTCGAATCGTGGATTTCACGCAGGCTACAGGTCGACATGTATGCCGGCGTCAGCTGCCTCTTATTCACTATGCAGCTTGTCCATCCGAGGAGACCATGCAATGCGAAGAGCTGATCCAAGCCGGGAGGTTTCTGGGTCTCTTTGGTTCTGCGCCTGGTGAGTTGTTCTCTCGTTTATACATTGACCTTTTTGGGTTGATGCATCTTTGCAGAGGACCAAGATATGGACATGAAAAGGGCATGTATGTTTTACAAGCGCAACAGACCTTTAGGACTTTCGCATCCTCTGGCACTCGAGGCCCAGTTGCAATTCCTTTTGCGGTATCGGGATAGCCACTGGCATGGAGCCAGACAACTTGACCAGAATTTGAAACGGGGTGGGAGGTCTCGCAGCCATACCCTCCACAGACCTGTTACTCCAGAGGTAATAGATATGATCCTGAAGGAGACTGGTGTGTCTCGAGAGGATCAAATTCATCTCGGATACGGAGTAATACGTTTTCTCCGTAGTTTGACCTTTACTGACGCCATTGACCGGGCTCTATATCTTGCATATATTTGCCTTACACTTTGCACATTGAGTTGTTTTTTCGAAGTGCTATTTAGTAGCGTTGTTGATGTTCACATGGTCAAGGGACCTGAGAGGGTATGAAGCCTGACAGCGCACTTACAGTGCACGCAGATGCTTTCAGTTACGTAACTGTCCATCATCGTTGCAATCAACCACGACCATGGACAGCGCTGAGTTTCATGCTGCTGTGTATGATGCTGTGAGGCATATCCCGGTAGCTCGCGTTACTTCCTACGGTACGCCCTTAGTCCTCCACAATCCTCTCTCCAAGGCTGCGACCGTTGCATCGATGCAGGCCACATCGCAAAACTCATTGGCATGCCCACATATTCACGACACGTCGGCCAAGGTACTTTCGACCGTCGTCATCGAATCTCACTCAAGTAACACGCTTAATAGCATTGAAGTTCACCTCGCCTGACGCAGATCCTCCCGTGCCGTGGTATCGCGTCATTTCGTCGACAGGCACGATATCGTCTCGCGGACCGGGAACGGATGGAGCACAGCGGCAAAGGGAGGCCTTGGAAGCGGAAGGAGTAGAGGTCTCTGATCCTGGTTTGAAGGTCGATCTGAGGAGGTGGGGATGGTTCCCCGATAAACTTGAAGAGGAAGTTTGACGTATGATCGTGATGATCCCGAATTTTCCACGCATTGTAATGTGGCATTTTTTGAATACTAGGCTATGATGGTATTGAATACTGGCATCCTCCCGCAAGACCCATCTTGGTCTACACCGCTTAATGTTGGTCATGAAGGTAATACAACCAGCTCAAGATATCTTTTAATTTGAGCCAAGGAAAGAAGTACTCTAAAATATCTAGTGAAACACTGTTTAAAAATAGAGGCACTCTACAATTAGTGATAGTACAGGTCTCCACAACAAGATAAAGCGACGATAATAAGGATAGTAAAACATGTTAAACAGTGATGGTGAATTTTAGCTTATCGCCCTCGACCTCGCACTTGACTGAGTTCATATTCTCGACCATGAAATGAGCGCCGCAGTTCTCGATCTTCGACTTTTCATGCGAAGTGCAAACAGCGATCACAGTCGCGCCGCTAGAAACACCCGCCCGGATGCCGGAAGGGGAATCTTCAAACACGACACACTTCGAAGCGTCGTATCCGAGACACTTTGCGGCAAGAAGGAACGGATCAGGCGCAGGCTTGCCAGCCTTGAGACGCTTGTCGTCGGCAGTGATGGTGACAGGGGGAGGAGTTATCCCGACGCGAGTCATGCATCCGTGAGCTGTGATAGAAAATAAGTCAGACCAATGCGGCACAGAAGACAAGGAAGCTTACCATAGGTCTTGGCTCCGGAAGTCGCGACCGCGTATCTGCCTGCGGGAATAGAATTCATCAACCTCTTCACTCCAGGAAGAATGCGGACGGAGCGGTCAACGCTCGCCGCTTCGATCTGCCAAGCCTCCAGTTCATCCCGACGCGTCTTTTGGTCGAGAGCCTCTTCGCCGACAATCTCGTTGTGATTCGACTCCATGACGGCGTCCTCGAAGGTAGGTTGGTACACATGAGTCTCGGGGACGGCGCTCATGCGAAGAAGGTTCTGGAGACGGCTGGCGAAAGAGGGACGGCGGGATTGGGAGGAAATGATCGAGGAGGCGCGAGAGCTCGGCGCCGAGCTTGCGGGGGTCAGATCAGGAGTACCAAAACCCGAGCTTGCGGGAGAACGGAGGGGGGAGTCCATGGGGGAGTTGGAAAAGGAATTACTGCGAGATCCAGGACCGTGAGTGTTGTAGGCGTCGGCGTAGAAGAGAATCGACTCTTCAAACTTGGTGACCTCGTCATCCATTTCGTGTTCTTTGATATAGGGCTTGAATGCGGCGAGGTTGTCCACGGCGCGTTTACCGTGGGTGGCGGCGATGACATAGGCTGGGTCCTGCCCAATGTCCTTCGCGACCTTGCCCCAGGCGGCTTCTACAGCTTGAATAGAATCCGTCAAGGTTCCATCCTATCAGCACACTGGCAGAGTTAGATTGGGAAGACGACGGCAACGAGGTACACACCATGTCAAAGAGGACCGCGTCGGCGTAGAAAGTTTGAGTCGAAGACATAATTTTGCGACAAAGATGATTTGATAAGAGGTGCAATCAGAGAGATGAAGCTTCGACTGGGGGTTGGGGAAATTGGTCGCAACATGTCACTTTATATACAAGGATGCTTTGATTAATAGGGGAATGTGACGTCAAGGACGGCTGGAAAAAGATTTGTCTTGAGTCGTCATCTGGGCCAGCATCTCAAGGCGAAGCGGGTTGCCATAACGGGAGACACTGCTGGATGACTGAGGGACAGCCACCAAATAAGTAACGCTGATTTCAGCGTTGGCGATTGGTATTTCCATTATAAATGCCCTTCCGAAAGCTCCACAGTACGATCAGAATTTTTTTTCCTGACCACAGCAGAAAGATAAGACTCCAGACTCCCTATAATGGATGGAAAACTTTATTAGCAGCCTCCGGGAATGGTGGATGTCTACTTACACTGTAGCTCTATCGACACACGAGTGTGGTACAAACATAGAAGGCGGTGATGATCTCCTTTTTGGGTGATATGATCAAATCGGTTGCTGTCCATAAAAGGTTCGTCACCACGTTTTCCTGGACAACACCCGCACAGCGAGGCACAGCCGATCGTGTCTGCATATGCTCTACCTTCCAGCAGATTCCAGCCTCCTTCCCTCACCTCCTTTAACAATGGCTCCTTTATATCTATCGTTCTTCGCATTTTTCGCGTAGAGACGTATTTTGTATTGCATTTGTAGCTTTGCCGGGCCCTCTATTGATTATCCATGCTGTCGGGATTCGCCAAAGGCCTCCCGTCTCGATCGCGAACGTTGGTTTTAGATTTTATTCTGCTCCTCTACATGTTGGCTCTTCCGCGTGCAGCTGGAGCGTTAGGTAACGATATGCCAGGAGCCCTATCTTTGGGCAGGCGTTCTGCCGCACTGGCCTGTTCTCTCTGTCACTAGAATGTCTTCTTTAACTCATGTGTTCATGTATCAGAAAGTTTACCTGCATAGGCCTGCATGTGACGGAGCCTAGATCAAGGCACTAATAACAAAGAGCAGACGTATTTCATTGAGATGGGAATTATGTCGCGCCGCCCCCACTTCAGGTCGTTTCATCTTCAACTTGTGGCTTGATTACCGCTCGGCGTCTTGTATCATGGGATCAAATGGACCTCCGTCCCCGCATTTGTGACTTGCGAAGACCTTCCACCTCCTTCCACTCGGAGAGCCCTCAAGGCTCCTCAAGGTCTGATGTTGCTAGCACGAATGCATGCGCAACGAACGTACCTGATGCAACCAGCTCTTATCAATCCATTGTTCTGTATTCGTCTTCAGACCGTCGTCGTCATATTGCGACGAAGAGTCCTCAGTCGACGAAGACGTCTATAGTCGTCCTTCCACCGGCATTTTCACATGTCTAAAGAGAGTTTCCAGGGCGAAATGAAAGGTACTGAAAGGAGCTAAAAGGAAACGCTTTCAAACGATTAACATTCGAAGCTCTTCCGCTGGCCATGGCTTTTAGAGGTCGCGAACATGACCCGAAGACCGACTCGGAGTGCTTTGTTTCTTGAAGTCAGATGTATCTGCACGGAGGAACCATCTGGTCAGAAAGATTCTATGGTTCTGCTCGAGCACAGGGAGTAATGCTTCTCTGAACCGAAGCCCGTTGCTCGTTGGTTTTCCACCCCTCAAGGCACAATCCAAAAGGTGAATCCGAATTTCCTACTCCCGAGCTGGAGGCGTTCCATCTGAGAGCAATACAGACTTGGGTCCGCCGTCCTTAATATATTTCCGAGTTACTCCAGGGCGATAGTGTGTGAATTTGCATGTATATTTGCTTGGACATCAACTTATCAGGGAAATGTTGAGAATAACACAAGCCCGAGTGACCTATTCTGCGCTACGAAGAGAATGATTAGGCAGTTGCCGGGCCCAAAGAAATGAGATCACCTAGGATATGCTGTTGATGCTATTCTGAGCATTAATGGGGTAGTGGTAACCTGGGTCGTTGCCACGGTACGGAAATTTCGACCCACCGGGGGTTCAATTCCCCCTTAATGCACGATGTGGGTAAGTTTTTGCTTTCTTCTTAGAAGTCTTGACTCTTGAGTCTTGACTGAGGAGTTGGGACCAGGGAGTCAATCCGACTGGACGCCTGGACCTGGTGAATTTATTCAGAGCTGAGTAACTTGTAAGATATTTGTACCGTACGAATCCTAAGAATGATCAATTTCCAGTGACTCCCCGGGCCATTGGCTGTCAAGATAACGTTAAGAAGTTCAAAGTTTTGGAACAAACATTCATATCTAACCCCCCGGGCGGCATTTCGAAACTGCACTTTATTTTCGGCCTGAAGGATCAGCCCGCTCAACTTCGATAAAACTTTCTGGCCCTCAGCTGGCCGGAGACCGATACTGACAGTTTGCATCATCCCTCAGGTATATCGGCGTTACTCTGCCTTACGTCGACGATCGTGATCACGCCAATGAACATGTCGAATGTCCAATCTCTAAGGTCAGGGAGGTTAAATTTGTGACAGCGCAGGTTTTCGGTGATTATAATGTCATGGTCCATTCCAAATTCCGGACTTGAGACCACATATATAACGACACCTTAAATAATCCGTGAATGCGTATATGTACAATTGCCTATGATAATCCATGGTAATTTCGAAGCTACTTATTAGACCAAAGTTAGTTCATTCGGGAAATCTATGAAAGGCAAGGGCTCGCCTTCGTTGCCGCATTATTACAGCTGTGTAGATTATCTACACCTATGTTTTGTGAACCACAGGTCAGAGCGGCACGATTAGTTATTAGTAGTATGACGATTGCATGTGAATTTGAGTATTTGAATCGGAAACTTGAAAATGATGACCGTTGCAGGCGGCGGCATGGTCGAGAACGTATACGCCAGCGGTAGATTAGAACGGCATGAAGGATAAATGAAAGGAATGACGAAAGCATATTCAATATCGACAGCGGGGGAGGGGACCAGAGGGAACCAGACACGACCACTTGGACAAGTCACATCTGCAATTGAAAGTTGTCAGTGCAGATGCTACCACGGTCAACGCGTCGCAGACTCACCCAGATATCAAACCTTTTCTTCCTTCGCGAACAACTGATATCTGGCGGACCGGGATCCACGGCCCGCATAACACACGTCGAGGGGCTCGAGGTTGTGAGCATAACGAAGGAGATCACTTTGAGATTGTCGTCAAAATCTATGGTGCACTCAAAGTCCTCCCTCCACCCCTTCCGGCTCGACTTCCACGTCCAATGCACGCTCCCTAGGAGAATGACGCGCCCTGCGTGCGCCGAGATCCTCATGGAGTGCTTTTCCATTGCAGAGCGCTCGTAATGGGTCGCTAGCAGATCAAAGTACGATCGAACGGCGTTCAGCCCCGTGAATCGATAGGCATCGGGGGTTTTACAGTCTGCGAACGAATGCTGTATAGTAACCGTATGGTGCTGGGAAAAATGTGCCAAGAGGCGTATAGATGGGGAGTTGTTGGCGATGTCGGAGAAAAGATCCTCTGCAACGGCTGTGAGGTCTGATACAGATAGTGACATTGTGGGAGGGAAGAACTCGAACGTTTAGCCAAGGCAAGTAGGATCCTATATAAAGCATTGGACCTCGGGCAGACGGGGATATATTTTTGGCATGGCCGCAGAAGGGTTCCAGGTTCGCAGGTACTTGGCGCCGGCTGGTCGCAGTCGAGTGAGTAAAAAACATAATACGGGCACGTTTACGGACTTACTTCACTCGCATCATTGGTACTTTGGTATGCCGTCCAATGTATAAGAAGTTGATATGATATTAGACGCTCACGTCAGTTGAAAATCCGGCACGTTCGCGGTCCTGCCACGGATATCAGCCGACAGCTTCGGATTAGCGGTCTGCTATCCGCGGGCGCTGGTAAGTCCTTGTTATTGAGCAAAACTGCTCGAGAAGGTACAGATAAGAATTCGCACGAGAGATGTAATACTATTTGGGGCCGAAGGTATTTTTGACTGCCAGACTCCAGTGCACCGTGCAGAGAATTTTGACAGTACACTTCTGTGACGGATTTTCAGGGTGTAGTACGAAAACAGCAAGCTGATTCCGGGGTGCGGAGCGCTGCGCTCGATTTCAAAATCCACATGGCGGTTAACAAGATCGGTGTACGCCAGTGGGGTCGATGACTGAGTTCCAGATGCCAGCTAAAATTTTTGACTCGGGACGTCAGCGAGACAGCTTGCAAATGAAATCGGGCATCGGTCATAGTGTGCTTGTAAGTATTGGTACGTGCCCGGCCTAACATTGTCGAGGGATCAATTCAGCGCCTCCGAGTCTCGAGACCGATAGATAGCTTTCCGATCCCAAATACAGCACCAGGGTCAGGTTCCGCGACAGTTCCTTGTGGCGTGTTCCTTGTGGATCTCTTCTAAAAGGAATCTTGCCAAGACGGAACCGTGTAGTGCGCTTTCGGATGAAAGATGAATGCAGACTGGAGCAAAACCGTGCCGAGTCGTAAGCAACAAATGGAAAGACATGGGTCCGTATTTGCTTCAGTCTGTTATTTCAATTTCACTGTACCCTTTGCGCGACAATCCGTCGATCTCAGTGAACCAAATGGGCGTCGACACAAAAGCATTGCACATCCCAATCGTGCTTCGCGGCACCAACAGGCACCAATTTCACTATGCACAATTGTTGGGGCTCTGTGGCGGCGGTTCCGCGGTGCCTTTAATAAGACGACCCCATTCTATTGGATGGGTTGGTCCTCGCCAGTAAGTAATCTCGGCGGTTTTTGTATCGACAGAGTAGGTATAACCTTTCATACGAGCGTCAGATGCTATGTATCTATACTATTAGGGCCACTATAAACCACAAAAGATACGTTCAGCCTGTCGTTAGCATGAACCTACTTTGGATTTGGGAAATGTTGCTTCACCTGCTGAGTGTTAGTAGAAGTCAAAATCAAGGATCGAGGGACAGGGGTGATGTCTTGGGGTGGCGCGTCAGAATACAGCAGCCTCTCGACACGGCTTCGTTTATAATGATTTGACAATCTGGCATCAGAGAAACGCCTGCGGAATCAGAACACACATGTTCTGGGTAGCATCATCAAGGGCTCTGTGTACGAGTCTTGAGTTGAAGTTCCCAGATAAGAGTAAATCTCCGTTGTTCCTTCCGAACCCTAAAACGCGAAGCCTAGGAACTGATAATGAGATGGATCAGGAGCCTGCATGTCCGAAAGATCAGGTACAAGTGGCGTCTATTATCAATCGAAATCGTACGCAAAGCCTGAACCTATGCGAGTATTCGGATCATAAGGCCAGTGATTTAGAAGCCGTAAGCCTGTGTTATAAATTGTTACCCAAAGGATGGCTGGTATCGACGGAAACTGCCAGGAATACCGTTATGTGGCGTAGAACCTGGTATAAGAGGTACGACTCGTTCCTTGTCTTACACACTATTGACCATCCCTAGCTCGCACGGACGGTGCAAGGTCCGAAGAATATGTGCAAGAACGAATACTTGAGTCAATAGTGAAGACATGAACCGAAATTGTGTCCTGCGTGATTCCGAGTGCTTGGACACTATGGAAAATACCTATGAAAATCTAGATGTGGCCAGCTCTTAGCAACGAAAATTGAATCGCACTGGTCAAATCAAAAAACTGCCGAAGTTCGGTTCACCAAAGGAGGTGGGACCACTCACTGCGTTTAAATCTGAATCACTAGGAGACGAAGATAGGCAAATAGTGCGCCACTACTTGAACTCAACATGAAATCCGGCCGTATTTGATGGGCTAGATTGACATGGAGGCATGTATTTTACCAGCGCAGTTCTTGAGGGAAGATTCAAACCAACAATCCGGTAAATGCTTAGCAGAGAGGTTACATTGCACAGTCCACTCGCCGGACCGCTTCAGTTCAAGACCCAACGAAGAAAACATGCGAAGTTCCTTGGCACTCTCGGGTGAGTATTTCTTCCCAAATATTGGTGGATAGCGGCGAGTACGAAGGTCAACCCATGTATGTGCTCAAATAAATATGATTGGACCATCGCGTATAAGAGATTCACAAGACGGGGCAAGACACCGTCCTGACCAGCATGAAAAAATGTCAGTTCGATTACGACATCAGGGTACATAAACTTACCCGCGAGAGTGATCGAGACCTGAAAAATGCTCATAGAATATGTCTTTATTTAACCTATACAGACAATTCACTCAACTGGAGCCCTGAACATGCATGCGATGGACGCTTAGAAGATTTGAATTGAAGTCAAAGTGATGCTGAAAAAAGTTGTCAGGAGTCAAACTGAAAACGGCAAGGATGAACGTACGCTTTGAACATCTGACAGACCGGCTGAACGCCAAATCCTCGGATTTTAGTGCTCACTGGGAGTTCTGGTTCAATGCAACTGTCAAATAACGAAGCTATCTTCGGCATCATTGACTCCGTTGCTGAGTTAGTACGGGGTTCAATCAATGACGAGAAAGGAACGAGCAGCAAAACATCGACCCTTTGGGGACAACAACGGCGTCTTTCGCAGAGTTCTTCATGTATTTAGTATCTGAAAGCCCAAAGCCTCTGACCAGTTTATATCGTCTCGAGTGATACCTGCCATATCCTGGTGAAACAGAATGATGCAAAAACCAGCAAGGCGGGCGCGGTCCTCGTGATATAGCCGCAGCGATGCATCTGCATACGCAAATCGTCAACTCATCTTTCATCTATTCTTGGATCGATCATCAAGCCACGAATCGAGTTAAGTTGACCCCTCGGTCCCGGACTCCCTAATATTGCTCAGAGCTCAAGCCGTGCATCGCATCTACAATATGCCCCTTTGGATTTGGTATGCCGCTAAAAAGTCGCGTCAAGAGGATTTAGGATGTAACAGAAGCACGGTACACGCACATCGAAGACATAAAAACGACCATGATCGGGTTGGCGGTCTGCAGTCGAACTTAAGATAAATAATTCTGTGATCAAGAAATCGTTCTTCGATTTGAATTATGAAGTGCGCTCGAGTTGTCGATCCTCGTTAGATGTTATCCGAGTCTTT